GGGTACAGCTGGCTCTGCCTCTAGATAGGCAGAGCCAGCAGTCACTCACGCAGCTGGGCGGATCCAGACATAATTGTCGGGATCCGCTTCAGCTGCGGTGTCTCAGTATACCGCGAGCAGTAGCTGGCGGTATACTGAGCTTAGGGTGACGGGAGGACGCTAGTTTGTGTCCTCCCGTTACCCTAAGGAGAACTATGGGGAAAAGCCCTAACCCCATAGTTCTCCTTTAAGGACTTCTATTGAATTGTGGGAGCTGGATTTATTCCTTGATCAGACTTGTTTAAAGCTTAAAGCAGACCTCCACTCCCCAGGTCCACTGTACTCCCTGCAAATCCCCCCTTCTGCAATATAACATTTCGATTAATTACTTTTTTTATTTCCCTTTTTTAACATTTTGGCAGGCCCAGCACCACACCACCATTCTTGCCTGCAGGGGTGACATGTCCTTGCTTCCACATCTTCCTGGGATATGCATGTGACACATCCCAACAAGATGTAGCAGCAGGTTCACACAAGACTCCTGCAGCAGGAACCTACAGATTCCTGACGCAAGAATTCCAGGTGTCCCTGTTCAGATGTGGCCCCTGTACCCAACGAAGTTACACATGCAATCGTATATGGTATGATTTCCTGCATTTTGGAATAGATGACTGTCACTGGATGCATCTATCCTGCATCCAGAGACAGTTATCTATCCCAAACCCCAGGTAATCATATAATATATGATTAGATGTGGACTGCTGCTAACAGACGTGCCCGCTGTCAGTAGGGTTGCCACCTGTCCAGGATTCACCCGGACAGTCCGGGTTTTGAATGCTCTGTCCAGGTTTCATGGCACCTGAGACCCGGACACATGATGTCAGGTAGACAGGGGCAACCAAAATTAAGATAGGGGCTACTGGCCCCCCACTGAAAATAGTCTTGACTGTGATATTTACATATGAATGGGTGGCGCTATTTACATATAAATAAGCCGTGACTCATTCTCCCCCCAAAAAATTCTGTGCGTTGCTAGAGTGTTCGGGTTTCGCTGAAAGAAAAGGTGGCAACCCTAGCTGTCACCCTGTTATTTACTTAATGGATACAGCGGCAGCATCTGAACGGGGACAACTGGCATCCTGCCGCAGGAATCCCAAATCACCCTGTGTGAATGGGGCCCAACAGCGGCCGGTGGGTAAGCCTGGTTGCATGTAATGGGAACCCAGAAGAGACAGCCTGCACATGAATGTTAATTGTGCCTAAGCAGTACCCTGAACATTGTATATTTCCTCCCGGAAAAATATCTAAGATGTTGCTCATGCATTGGAACCATTGCAGCCAAAAACATAGCCAGGCAGCTAGCATTGCCAACATCAGTTCAGCAGTGCTAACCTTTTCATTTGCCTTATAACAGGTCCCCTTTAACATCTGCTGTTGGAACAACTGTGGCAGGATATGGTGATATTTGCACATCAGCTACTGTGAGAGACACAGGAGGAGGGCTGAGTTTTAATGTCTATTTTTGCTCTCAACATTTGATTATTGAGCTTTAATTGGCACCAAAATAGAACCAGTGGCAGACCCATCCAGCCAGCAAAGCTCTCGGTGACGTCATCACGGAGCGACCCGGAAACTGCTCCACGTGTGTGTCACAGGAGGAGACAGATGCTGCAGCAGTCGCATCGCTGACTAGTGTTAGCATCCCTCATCAATATAGCATTGTATTAAAGGGACTGGACGTGTACACAGGTAATTAGAGACCCCTGATCTTCTCATAGTCCCAGTCTACCCCCCTCTTCTCCCTAAACAGGTCAGAGAAGAGGGAGATTGTCCACATTAGTGATGCATTAAGATTATTTTACCTGATTCATACTTGAGTGTTATTAGAAATTCAAAAGCTTTAGATCACTGAACTGTTGTGGCTGCATATAATTATAACAATGCCTAGCTGAGGAATTGGGTAACCATTAACATTTGTTATATATAATTGTACAGAGAGGTGCTATTTCTAGCAGAACAGAGATCAGTCAAAACTTTTTTTTGTTGCAACCCCAGTCGGGTTTTTTGCTTCATGTGACCCTGCTGGGAATTGAATATTAAAGTGACATTAAAGGATACCCCCCCATGCTAGTGTAAGAACTTACCTTAAATTATGCCTCTTAATCCAATCATCTTCTTCTTTCCTGTAGTTTTCAGGAGTCCTTCTAGTGCTGGTGCCGATCTCCGATCAGGCACTGACTTTTCTCTCTTCCTGGCACTTCATGTCCAGCGGAGTCTGTGCATGTGCACGCTGCCTCCATTGACTTACATTGTGTCTCTCCTCGTCTCGCGGCCGAAGATCTGTACTGCGCATGCGGCCGCTCGAGATTTTTCAGATCTTCGGACGGGAGCGTGCGGCAGAGACGCAGGTAAGTTTAAACCTTTTTTGTAACTTTTTTTTATTCATATTTTTGCATATATCTACTGCTTGCTAGCATTAGATATATGCAAGGGTTTCAATATCCTTTCACTCTCACTGTTTGTCCTGTTGTCCATTGTTACTGGACAGAAAGTGATGAGAATTCCAGAATTTCACAGTTACCACCGGAACTGGAAGTTGGGGGGCACTGGGAGAACCTGTTCCAGTGAAAATTACATTGGGAAGATTTCATCTTGCTTCCTGTTGTGTCTTCAGGACAGGGGGTGAAGGGAAATCTTTCCAATAGCACATGAGCTACAGAAAAAATGGGTAAACCTTACTGTATCCGAAACTACAGTTGTCCAATTCAATCCATGGCTGATCTGCTGGCACCACCCAGTTTGACAAAGCCAATTTTTAAAATGTTTTTTTAATTAACTGTTGTTTGAAGAAGCCTGGCCAAACAGTGACTGCAACCAATGGACAAAAGTCACTATTCAGGTATCCGGACAGCCGCAGCCACTGCCTTAGAATACAATATCTGCCAGAGGAGGGAAACCGCATGGATAGGGGAGTCCGGTGTATTTTACTTGTTCAGCTCACGGGGCTGAATGTAAAAAAAGTGTGAAGTGTATGGCAAGCGTAAAACACGTTTTCAATTTCGATCCATTATAAATTGTCTGAACAAGTGTATCACATATCATAAGAATGTCACATTGCGTTTGTCATTCTTCTAGAGGGTTCCATCTGAATCATGTGAATACACCATGTTGAGCAGCAAGGTCAGTCGTTATAATAGTGAGCCAGTAGGTCTGCATTCATGCTGTTTGCGCTTATTGTTTGTTAATGGGCACAGCTGTCCTCCCTTTATTTGGTGTTTGGTACAGATGTATGGCTGTTTATATAATCAGTTTTTTTATTGAGAAAGATTTTACCTTCTACTGAGAAATATTTTTGAAGTGAAACAAAATATTTTGAACCAGAAACAAAAATGGAATTTCCAGTGTAAAGAGCAGTTTATAGTCTGGCTATGGTTATTGTACTATGTAGTCTGGCTATGGTTATTGTACTATGTAGTCTGGCTATGTACTTTAAGCTTACCGCTTAAAGTACATGTTACAAATGTTGATGCGCTGCAGTGGTGGTAATTAGGAATGGCACCTTCAAATCCAAATCACATGTGTGCTGCAATGCATGGTGTCCTGTGGGTTTACGCTGCAATAAAATGCAGCCTGCCCCATTGTCACTTGTTTCATTTTTGAACGGGCTGTTAAACTCAACGTGCATCAACATGTGGTGATCAGCTAACAGCATTGTGGTGGAAATGGGCCCTTAAAGCCTTTTTATTATGCTGTAATGTGTATTATTGTTTGAACAATTTTTGATCGTTTGGAGGGTATTCTATTTTAAATAGCAATCCAACTACTCCAAGACAGAGAGGCCTTTTACATTTAAAGGATAAGTGCACTTATTCGTTTTACCCCCTTAGTTTGCTACTACCAGTAATGAACACCCCTCAGACCCTGTTCATTACCGGTAGTATCGCTTTAGACTTTGTTTTTTGCTCTGCCTCGCCAGAGCCGGTTCAGCCCATCCCCTCCACTGTCTATCCCTCCAATCAGAACTGGCGCAGGGGGGAATCCTTGTGGGGAGCGGTTCAGAATTCAAATTCTAGCCCAATAATGTTACGTTTAAGAATCGGATTTACGTACCTCTTTATTGTGATAACTTCTCATTACTAATTTTTTTTCTTTTGGTATAGGTCACACGGCATGAGTTTTGTGGAATACAAAGAGCAAATAGAAGATGGTGACACAGCCATTGTCTTTCTGGGACATGACTCCATGTTCCCAGTGACTATCAAACATGGAAGCCAGACACAGACTAAATATGGGGTCATCAGACACTCCACCGACCTTATTGGAAAGAAGTTTGGCTCCAAGGTGACCTGCAGCAAAGGAGGATGGGTGTACATTCTGTATCCAACCCCAGAGCTCTGGACCATGAACCTGCCTCATCGAACTCAAATCCTTTATTCTACTGACATCTCGATGATCACAATGATGTTGGAACTAAAGCCGGGCTCGGTCGTCTGTGAGTCAGGTAATTGTGTTTTATTACAAGTACATTTAGAAAGGTTATTCCATCCGTTCCATTACAACTGTATTTCTGAACTGGTACACAGGCTAATAGGCAATTCTAAGCCGTCCTGGGAAATTAATGCCTGTCCTTTTATATAGTGTAGGAGTGAATAAAAAAAGGCATTCAACCTTATCCCAAACAATTGATAATGCTTATAAAAGGGTCAGTCAGGTCAATCTGATTTGGACCGTTTTAGGTTGAATCATCTGCTGGCTTATATTTCAAACTCTGCCAACCCCTCCATGGGACTTCCCCCTAAAATGGAATTGAACTTTGAAAGCTCTTTTCAAAAATAGCAGGCAGAGGACAATGGAAGAGTCACCAGTAGGGATTGGCCGAGAAGCCAGGATGCTGATAAGCCGGCTTCCCAGCCAATCAGCATGGAGCCTGCCAAACAGCATGGAGGCGGCTTCTCAAACAATCAAGAAGCTGGGCGGCAGGTAATGACACGCCGCCTGGCTTCCTGATAGCCAGGGCAATGCTAGCGGAAGTATCGGTACTCGGTATCGGTGAGTACCGAAATATAAATATCGATACTCGCACAAATGCTCCGATACCGGAACTTCCGGTCAAAGGGAGATTTCTTGTGACTGGCATTGCCGTGAGGGAACATGGAGCCGGTTTCCTGGTCAATCCGGGAGCCGGGCGCTTGACTTCCTGATTGGCTGGGAAGCTGGCTCCATGCTGTTTGGCCGGCTCCATGCTGATTGGCTGGGAAGCTGGCTTCTCAGCCAATCAGCAGCGAGCCGGCCAAACTGCTTGGAGCCGGCTTCCTGGCCAATAAGGAAGTCGGGCGATGGGTAACAACCTGGCTTCCTGATTGGTCGGGAAGCCGGCTCAATGCTGATTGGCTGGGAAGCTGGCTTCCTGAGCAATCAAGAAGCCGGGCGGTGGGTAATGGTGATATAAATATCGGTACTCGATACTGAAAAACCGGTATCGGTGCATCCCTAGTCACCAGTATTGCCTACAGGCCTTCCTGTAGCTGATGTTTTCCCCATTGCTGACTTGCCATGGCTTTTTCTGCACTGTCTCTGTGTAGAGGAGGCCATCATGGTGAAGGCAGAGTTTTTGCCTTCAAAAATAAAGTTAAAAAAATAAAACAATGGCAACAACTCAGTGTGTACCCTGAAAAATGTACTAATCTGGTCCGGAAAATGGTGTGAACCTGCCCTTAAGGCGCATTGGTGACCTGGCTCCTGAGATTTGTCCGGTCCTGAATTATACTATTGGATGGATGTGCAAGTGTTGTGGACCTGTGACCTGAAATTAATAAACTCTGATAAGATGTGCCCTGAGCGTCTGCACAGGTTCTCATGAACATGCAGCAGCTCCTACAAGCTGCTGTCACTCAATGGGAGAGGAGGATCCAAACAGTATTGTCGGGATCATTTATCAGCACAGAGCTTAATCCCCGACTACAGTATATTGCACTGAATTTTAAGCTTATGGTGCATTTTTATTCACAGAAGTACATTGCAAAATATATTCCTGCATCATAAGGAAACTACAAATGCAAAAAAAGGTGTACCCCATAGTTCTCCTCTAAGTCCCCTCATGCCTGTAATGTTGCAATTTATTGGCTGCATCCTTCTGGTTTTAAGTTGTTGGAACAGAACCGTGTTCTTTAAAATTTGCAGACAAGTGCACTTCGATCTGAACCTTTTTAAAAAATTTTATTTAGATTTGTAGATCCCTTTTTTTAGGGTCGTGAAATATGCCGATCTCCTTCTCGCATGTCCCTCAGTCTCCGTGCTCTGTACCATAATGCACCTCTGCACATTTCATTTTGATAATGGCCTGCCGCTCGCAAGCCTCTTGGTAAGCCGGTGTTCAGAAAGCTTAGTCAGTACATGTGATCTGTGCTCGGCTGGAGGTCACAGATGGTATCTCAGCAGCAGCAAAATAACATTTTCGGTGGAAATTCAGCGCCTGCTTTGCTCCTTCAGCCGGTGCTTAACTCTTAACCCGCGAGCTGCTGGAGCAGACCACAACATGCCGCCACGCTGGCTGCTTCGATTGATACCAAGTCATAGCCATTAATATTTGTGAAGGCTTTGTCAGTCACGTCAATGTCAAGGCTCTGTGTGGAAAATTCCACTAGTCAGCAAATCTGTAAATTAGAATTAGTGCATTGATTTTTACCCACGCTGTGGAGTGAATTATTGGAGTTCTGCCTCTCTGGGTCCTTCGATCTGCAGGGTTAAAACACAAAACGGTTTGCACAGTGAAGATCAGTAAAGCGGAACTCTAGCTAAGACTCCCTTTTATTTTTAGTTCTTGTACTATAAAACTAGTGCTCGTTTTAAAGCAGAATGGAAATGAAATGTATACAATGTTGCCAAACTGTGTTTTGTGTGATTACCAAGAGCTGGTTTAGGGGACCATCCAGGAAGTGAAGAAATCTCCCCAGTGAGTCACATGCATCAGTGTGTAGAACAAGATGGAAAACCGCTATGCATTTTAAAGCTGGGGTAGAGCTGGGTTAAAGAACTATGAGGTGAGTGCTTTTCACTCACCTCATAGTTCTAGCTGACCTGTGACAATGAGACTGTCACAGGTCGGCTCAGTAGATCGGGAGGTGAGGGAACATATACCGGCGTTCGCTCACCTCTCGATCCTGTAACGGCTCTCTGCCGTGACAGGGGAGGGGCTGGATTCCCCTCTCCCCGCTCCGATCCGCCAGCGCTGACTGGCGGAGCGGACGGGGGTGGGGGCGGTTTACAGCTGGCTCTGCCTCTAGATAGGCAGAGCCAGCTGTCACTCACGCAGCTGGGCGGATCTCGACATCGATGTCGGGATCCGCTCCAGCTGCGGCATCTCAGTATACCGCGAGCTCTAGCTTGCGGTATACTGAGCTTAGGGTAATGGGAGGACGCTAGTTTGTGTCCTCCCATTACCATAAGGAGAACTATGGGGAAAAGCCCTAACCCCATAGTTCTCCTTTTAACCAACAGCAGTGAAACCCTTTTAAACAGTATATAAAAAGCGGTTTTATTGCTTTCCTTCAGAGATCTTCCTATCAATTTCTAGACAATTGACCACCCAGGAAGTGAGTATTGCTGTAAATTATATACAGCAATGTGTAGAACAAGATGGAAAAACCTTGTGCATTTAAAGCTAATCTCACGGCACAAAAACGTTTATTGCAATATATTCCTTAATAGCCACAAAAGAATACAAATCCACGTTGTGGGCACCGAATGCTTTTTATATACACAGTTATAACCTTGTAAATGTAGCAGTGACCTCATCACTGTGCTGCACATAGCCTGTATAGAGATCAGACTGTTGGAGGGTCCCAGCAGGCTCCATTGACTACTACCTCACCAAGATTTCAAGTAAGAATAAACATGACTCTTGTATTTAGACAATATTGGGTTATCCATGGATCTTTCAGTTTAAATCGTCTGAATACCTTCCAGGTGCATCAAAACCAAAAAATTTTCAAAATCTTAGTTTTGTTTTCTTTAGAAAGCATCTAGCAGAAAGGTCTGTCCCCTGCCATTGTGCTGCAGGGTAGGACCCTTGCTTTCTGTGTGGAAGCAGTGATCTTTCTGCTGAGGTCAGACACGCCCCCTGTTGAGTCAGACCTACAGTCCTCCAATCAGCCAAGCTCATGCTTCCTACTGTTTGGAGAGCTCTACCTCTGACTTAGTGGGGGGTTTGACCTCTGCAGCGATGACCCCACCTTGCCTACAACTGTGCACGTTTCCCTTAGCCTTCTGGTGTAAGATGTCATGAGTCTTATGAGACCGCACAGTTCTGCAATGCTCTAGGCCAGCGCCTTGTGTCAATCTCGCATTGTTCTGAGAACAAAGGATTAACTGTTAGTCTGGCCTGTGTGCGTACAGGCCTTTCAGACAGTTCTGGCTGTACAATCTGTTTGTTTATTCTGTAAACAAACCTTTCAGATCTTTTGCTTTATCCATCAATATTTATTGATTAATTTCTCCCATGGCCGTCCCAAAGAAAACAAGAGTTTGCAGGCCTGAAATTGTGGTCAATATACAGTAAATAATACATTCCTGAAAATGAATAAAGTGGGAGTTATATGGTTTCATGCCACCATCCCCTGGAGTGTCATTTAAGTCCTATCCTCCTTTTCTGAAGACCGTTAAAGCTCCACTCCAGCCAAAGCTGTGTTTTTGTTAAGTTTTGTAGAGGGAGAGAGGTTTTTAAAGTGAGCGAACACATACCGGCGTTCGCTCACCTCTCGATCCTGTCACCGCTCTCTGCCGTGACAGGAGAGGGGCTGGATTCCCCCCTCCCCGCTCCGATCCGCCAGCGCTGACTGGCGGATCGGACGGGGGAGGGGGCGGGTACAGCTGGCTCTGCCTCTAGATAGGCAGAGCCAGCTGTCACTCACGTAGCTGGGCGGATCTCGACATCGATGTCGGGATCCGCTGCGGCGTCTCAGTATACCGCGAGCTGTAGCTCGCGGTATACTGAGCTTAGGGTAACGGAAGGACGCTATGGGGAAAATCCCTGACCCCATAGTTCTCCTTTTAATGTATGATTTGTTATATATTAGGGATGCACCAGTACAATTTTTCCAGCCCAAGTACTGATACTTGTCCTCACAGATACCAATTACTGGTACTTTTGTTGTTTGTCATGTGACAGTTTTTCTAAAACAAAACAGACGAATGATTTTAGGACAGTGGTGGCGTGCCAGAGCCGGGGTCCCAGATGCAACTGCTGCAATCCTGGTAGTTCTCGTGAAAATACCAGTTATTGGCACTGGTATCTGAGCATCCCTATTTTAAAGCTTGTATGTTTCTCTATACAGTGATTTCCCCTCATTTCTAGTTCTGACACCCATTAGGAAGTGGGAGAAAATCTCTCCAATGGAGGCACAAACAGCATTTTAAACTTGACAGAGGATATAGCCCCTTCCCCCACACTATCCAATGCAAAGCTTTTGCACTGTGTTGTTAAAAGGTGTTGCATTGTGCAGTTTTAATATGGTTTCTCTTGACCTCTTTTCAAGAAACCAGATGGGTAAAAAAAAAAAATACAACTGGCTCCTACCTTTTTTACATGCTTTTTTTGTCACTGGCAGCACGTTTTTACATTCCCATTGATTTGTACAGGTAGAAAAGTAGTTCTGATGCAGAACAATGCTTGAGTGCCAAAGCCATAAAGTGTGCCAGAGGCTGGCCAGAGAGGACCTCTTTCGCAGCCTATGGCTACTATAATCCTATGGCCTATGGCTACTACAATCCTTAGAAGATCTAGAACTTCCAAATCAGTGGTCACCGACGTACTGTTTAACCCACTGTCATTCTTTTTTAGGTACTGGAAGTGGCTCGCTTTCCCATGCCATAATTCGTACAGTGGCACCCACGGGTCACTTGTACACTGTGGAGTTCCACCAGCAGAGAGCTGAGAAGGCAACCGAGGAGTTCAGTCAGCACAAAGTGGATCATCTGGTAACCGTGAAGAATCAGGATGTGTGTAAGAACGGTTTTGGAGTATCTCATGTTGCAGATGCTGTGTTCCTGGATATACCATCACCCTGGGAGGCCATCGGTCATGCAAAAGATGCTTTAAAGATTGAAGGTATGATGAATAAATTAGGCATTTGTAGGTGGTTTTATCATACCAACCAGTCATGTGTTTGCCTTCTTTGTCTGAGAAAAACATAAACTGCCTTGATATAGACACATCTTAATTATGTTTCTGTGGTCAAATCATTATTTTAACATTTTGGTAGCGTGAGCATACCCATGGCTGTGTTAGGAAATATTCTAAAAGTCCCTTTTGATGGAGTGGGAAAGGCGTTGACAGACCCGATTGCTGTCCACATTGGAGAGACCCCTGTCCAGTGAACAGGATGTGGATTGATATAGTAGCACAACACTTTTTTTTTAGTAGGTTGGAAAATGTTAGAACCTTGGTTAGATTTTTATTGCCATTTCTAATTTTCTGTCCTGGTGACACTTGTTTCCCTCACATCTCGTCCTGGTGTCACAGGAAACAATGAAGATACACAGAAAGCAATCCAAACCCCTGCAGGTTCTATTAATTCCCAGCTGTGTCCAAGAGGAACCAATAAATACTTTTTTGAAGAGTCGGGGTTTGGTAATGGCGACAGTTAAAGTACATTTGAAGTATCCTATTTTTTCTTTTATAGTCCTGTACTGACTTTTATGCTATAATTTTTAAGGCATTTTCTCTTGGAATACCTTAAAATAACCATTTCACTTCCTGGCACTTTACCCATTCTGGTGCTATGTGATGGCAGCCATGCAGGTTTGGTGCTTCGGATGAGAGGGGCATGTCTGACTGGGCCTGTTAGATTATACAATGCACTAGGCAGTGTGATCAAACTCTGGTGCCCATTGGACTGTATGGTCATATTTAGACCCATTGTGCAACTGCTATAGCAGTAAAGTGTAAGTAGGACAATGAAAAAGGATAGGTTGTTGGAGCATGGTCTAGTACAGTGGTTCTCAACCTGTGTAACCTCAGTACCCACATTTGTCCTCGGTCATTATGTCGCGACCCAAGTTCCACTGCAATGGAAGGCACGGCAGTGTGGGCTGCTGTGCTGTGACGAAGCTCCGTCCATATGTGCATTGCTTGTACAGCTCCCAAGCATGCCCTGTAGAGGTGCTGGGAGCCAGAATGTGATGTAACTCCAGTCCAGGCACCTCTACAGGACATGTGAGGGAGCAGTAAGCAATGCACGTATGGATGGAGCTCCCTCGCGGCCATACCCCCACACCACCTCAAGCTGACACTCCACAAAGGGCAGCATATTTTGAATGGCTGCTTGGTGTAAGAATGGACAGCGCTGCGCTAGGGGAGGCAGAGGAGTCTATCACCTAGAAAAGTGGAAGGCATGCGGCGACCCACTTTTGGGTCACGACCCACCAGTTGAGAACCAAGGGTCTAGTATGAGTTTAATTGGACTTTTAAAGCCTATCTCTGGGTAAAAAAAAAAAAAGCTACCCTGGCACTTTACTTGGCTGATCCCTGCTTCCCCAGCAGTGGGCACTTACCTCTCTCCCTCCACTCCAACTCAAGAACTGTCCCTCAGTGTCATCACGTATAATGCACGAGTATGAGCTCTGCAATAGACATGATGACACCAGTGACATCCGACCACTGGAGTGTAGAGGGAAAGTGCCTCTGCACGCTGCTCTTAAGTAAAAGTTATTTTACAAAGGTCCCCTAGACGAAGATGAACAGTTAACGATTGCAGAGCAGTGGTAGCCCCAGTGCAAGGGTAGTGTTTTTGGGGTTTTTTTTTCCCCCTAACTGGAAATGGGCTTTAAGCTTAATGTGCCATTTGCAATGTTTGCTCTTTCCCTATTATGAGCTCTGTAATGGTGCAGGAAGATGGCAACAGAATCTAGTTATATTTTCCCCTACATTTTTAAGCCAGTTCCAAATAAACACTAGCAGAAATATGGGCATGGCCAGGACCACCCCTGCGATGAGGCAAGTTGAAATTTTCATCTCAAATTGTGCCATCTAGGAACACCATGAGAGAGGCTGGTTTCCTACCACTCAACTGCTTCCCTCTACTATGCACACTGAGGAAATGGTGCACATATAAAGCGTTTTCATCCCGGTGGGGTGCCTGCTGTAGCTGCAGGAGCATGTGTTGAGTGGTTTTGGCTAAAACCAGTAGGCAGCTTCTCGGTGCCAACACAGGCATAATAAAGGTTCTGCCAGAATATCTCCTTTTTCACAGATGCAAAACCGCCTCACCATTTTCTGTTGGGTACAGCTGGCTCTGCCTCTAGATAGGCAGAGCCAGCTGTCACTCACGTAGCTGGGCGGATCTCGACATCGATGTCGGGATCCGCTGCGGCGTCTCAGTATACCGCGAGCTGTAGCTCGCGGTATACTGAGCTTAGGGTAACGGAAGGACGCTATGGGGAAAATCCCTGACCCCATAGTTCTCCTTTTAATGTATGATTTGTTATATATTAGGGATGCACCAGTACAATTTTTCCAGCCCAAGTACTGATACTTGTCCTCACAGATACCAATTACTGGTACTTTTGTTGTTTGTCATGTGACAGTTTTTCTAAAACAAAACAGACGAATGATTTTAGGACAGTGGTGGCGTGCCAGAGCCGGGGTCCCAGATGCAACTGCTGCAATCCTGGTAGTTCTCGTGAAAATACCAGTTATTGGCACTGGTATCTGAGCATCCCTATTTTAAAGCTTGTATGTTTCTCTATACAGTGATTTCCCCTCATTTCTAGTTCTGACACCCATTAGGAAGTGGGAGAAAATCTCTCCAATGGAGGCACAAACAGCATTTTAAACTTGACAGAGGATATAGCCCCTTCCCCCACACTATCCAATGCAAAGCTTTTGCACTGTGTTGTTAAAAGGTGTTGCATTGTGCAGTTTTAATATGGTTTCTCTTGACCTCTTTTCAAGAAACCAGATGGGTAAAAAAAAAAAATACAACTGGCTCCTACCTTTTTTACATGCTTTTTTTGTCACTGGCAGCACGTTTTTACATTCCCATTGATTTGTACAGGTAGAAAAGTAGTTCTGATGCAGAACAATGCTTGAGTGCCAAAGCCATAAAGTGTGCCAGAGGCTGGCCAGAGAGGACCTCTTTCGCAGCCTATGGCTACTATAATCCTATGGCCTATGGCTACTACAATCCTTAGAAGATCTAGAACTTCCAAATCAGTGGTCACCGACGTACTGTTTAACCCACTGTCATTCTTTTTTAGGTACTGGAAGTGGCTCGCTTTCCCATGCCATAATTCGTACAGTGGCACCCACGGGTCACTTGTACACTGTGGAGTTCCACCAGCAGAGAGCTGAGAAGGCAACCGAGGAGTTCAGTCAGCACAAAGTGGATCATCTGGTAACCGTGAAGAATCAGGATGTGTGTAAGAACGGTTTTGGAGTATCTCATGTTGCAGATGCTGTGTTCCTGGATATACCATCACCCTGGGAGGCCATCGGTCATGCAAAAGATGCTTTAAAGATTGAAGGTATGATGAATAAATTAGGCATTTGTAGGTGGTTTTATCATACCAACCAGTCATGTGTTTGCCTTCTTTGTCTGAGAAAAACATAAACTGCCTTGATATAGACACATCTTAATTATGTTTCTGTGGTCAAATCATTATTTTAACATTTTGGTAGCGTGAGCATACCCATGGCTGTGTTAGGAAATATTCTAAAAGTCCCTTTTGATGGAGTGGGAAAGGCGTTGACAGACCCGATTGCTGTCCACATTGGAGAGACCCCTGTCCAGTGAACAGGATGTGGATTGATATAGTAGCACAACACTTTTTTTTTAGTAGGTTGGAAAATGTTAGAACCTTGGTTAGATTTTTATTGCCATTTCTAATTTTCTGTCCTGGTGACACTTGTTTCCCTCACATCTCGTCCTGGTGTCACAGGAAACAATGAAGATACACAGAAAGCAATCCAAACCCCTGCAGGTTCTATTAATTCCCAGCTGTGTCCAAGAGGAACCAATAAATACTTTTTTGAAGAGTCGGGGTTTGGTAATGGCGACAGTTAAAGTACATTTGAAGTATCCTATTTTTTCTTTTATAGTCCTGTACTGACTTTTATGCTATAATTTTTAAGGCATTTTCTCTTGGAATACCTTAAAATAACCATTTCACTTCCTGGCACTTTACCCATTCTGGTGCTATGTGATGGCAGCCATGCAGGTTTGGTGCTTCGGATGAGAGGGGCATGTCTGACTGGGCCTGTTAGATTATACAATGCACTAGGCAGTGTGATCAAACTCTGGTGCCCATTGGACTGTATGGTCATATTTAGACCCATTGTGCAACTGCTATAGCAGTAAAGTGTAAGTAGGACAATGAAAAAGGATAGGTTGTTGGAGCATGGTCTAGTACAGTGGTTCTCAACCTGTGTAACCTCAGTACCCACATTTGTCCTCGGTCATTATGTCGCGACCCAAGTTCCACTGCAATGGAAGGCACGGCAGTGTGGGCTGCTGTGCTGTGACGAAGCTCCGTCCATATGTGCATTGCTTGTACAGCTCCCAAGCATGCCCTGTAGAGGTGCTGGGAGCCAGAATGTGATGTAACTCCAGTCCAGGCACCTCTACAGGACATGTGAGGGAGCAGTAAGCAATGCACGTATGGATGGAGCTCCCTCGCGGCCATACCCCCACACCACCTCAAGCTGACACTCCACAAAGGGCAGCATATTTTGAATGGCTGCTTGGTGTAAGAATGGACAGCGCTGCGCTAGGGGAGGCAGAGGAGTCTATCACCTAGAAAAGTGGAAGGCATGCGGCGACCCACTTTTGGGTCACGACCCACCAGTTGAGAACCAAGGGTCTAGTATGAGTTTAATTGGACTTTTAAAGCCTATCTCTGGGTAAAAAAAAAAAAAGCTACCCTGGCACTTTACTTGGCTGATCCCTGCTTCCCCAGCAGTGGGCACTTACCTCTCTCCCTCCACTCCAACTCAAGAACTGTCCCTCAGTGTCATCACGTATAATGCACGAGTATGAGCTCTGCAATAGACATGATGACACCAGTGACATCCGACCACTGGAGTGTAGAGGGAAAGTGCCTCTGCACGCT